TTTTTCAAATAGTCAGAACCCCCAGAATAGGCCTCCTTCATGTTGCCAAAATCGGGCCACAATTCATGTTTTATACATCAATTCCATCGAATTGACACCCAGCAATGTGATCCGTTCGTCCTGATTCACAAAACTCACAAAGTTACCAAAATACCCCCAGATCACCCTGTCCTCCCCTACCAATCTACCCCCAGATATCCAGTACCCCCACCCTAGCATCCCTACTATTATTCCACCATTTTTCCATATTTTTATTGGCCACCGTTCTATTCCTATTCACCCTACGATCATCCCTGCCCATATTCCCCATTTTATCCATACATAACCCAGCCCATTTCACTATATACGCCCTACCTACCCGCCCTACCCATTCCCCAGCACCCCTACCCCATCCCCTACCCCCTACCCTACCCCCAGGACCACCCCCGTACACCCTACCCCATCACCCTGGGCCACCCGGCCACCCAGAATCACCCCCCGGCTGCCCCAGTAGCCAGCCCAGTACTGTCATTTATAATTCTTGGGTCAGAGAAACCTTTGTAAAGGACTCCCTTCTTACTAGCAGGTACCTTTATAAAGATGGTACATCCTCTGGTGAAGAGTGTGGGCGAAGGAGATCTGGAGTGTTCTTGAGAGCCTGCCGGTGGAGCAGATGCAGCCATAAAATGAGTGAAGTTTGGGCTGTGGATAAAAAGGGGGAACAAACCGTGGGCTTATATATATTCGGATGAGTACCAGCACCAAACCTCTGAAAAATCAGAACTCGAACTGGAGGTACGAGGACGGACAGCACCTGATCAGTGACATGAAGGTCAAGCCGCAGGGGAATACGTACAAGAACTGATGATAGACATGTTTGTACCAGGCGTGTAGTGCGAGACCGGTGCAAAGTTCGATGATCTGTGGGAAAATGTTGCACAAATTGAGTGAGTAAACACAATAAGGTTAGTAAATGACAAACAGACTCACCATGGTATATGTGCCTCGATATCTGCAAATCAAAGTGCATATGAAGCATGGCTGGATCATCTGAACCCGTCAACGATTGTGATTAGCCAATGCGTACAGAGAAAGGGCATGAAGTACTCACCGTTGCTCTCACTGGACGTAAGAAAAAAAACATGGATCAGTCGACGATCAACATTGTGATGCAGAAACTGAACACAAACTCACAAGAAAATATTATGGATGCCTGTGCAGTGGCCGCATGTAAACGGGCAGGATCACACCTGGAAACCAACAGGAAAAAATCAGCAAAGATAACAGCATCGTGGAGATAAAAGTGAAAACATGCCTATGACTGAGAGCCCGTGAGGAGTCGGAATCACCTGCGGAATAAACAAACGTCGAGCAAGATGAGAATGGAGGAGGGCACAGAGCAGGACCATGAACACGGACCCTTGAGTCAGTGTTGAGCCCTTGAGCCCTGTCGACGTCGAAGAGGTCGCCAAAGTACCAGAGCAAGCTGTGGCATCCCAGGGAACACGACGTGTCACCCCCGGGCATGCTTCTACGAGCTTTGGGCCATGTTGATGAGAGCGAGGGAGAGACAATCCAGACGAGGGCGGTGTGATAGACGAGTGAGGCGGGCGTGCAAAGGAGAGAGGGAGAGAGACGAAATGAGACACGCGGATACTCACGGATGGCAAATGCCGGAGTTCGCTCTCATGCACAGGCCAGCGAGCGTTCCGGCTCCCACGCGTCTTTCGCCCCTCCACCGCTGTTCTCTCTGTCTCCTCCGTTGCCGCCCCACCCTCTCTACCCCCTCAACTCGTCTCCGCCCGCCCTCTCCTCCTTCAATCCCTTCCGCGCCCGCCCTTTCCACCCTCTCCACGTCAACGTCAACGCGTACCCTCTCAATGTGTTAACGCGTTAATGCGCGCCCTCTCTCCCTCTCCGTACGCCCCCTCCCCAGCCTCAATCCCCTCCGCACCCTCCATCTTTACCTCCAACGCGTTAACGGGCGCCCTCTCCACGCCCTCTCCACGAATACGCGTATCCGCGTATCAGCGCTCCCTCTCCGCGCACCCTCTCCGCGCGCCCCCTCTCCCTCTCCGCACGCCCCCTCCCTAGCCTCAATCCCCTCCACACCTGCCATCTCCACCCCCAATGTGTCTCCGCGCTCCTTCTCCGCGCGTTTGCCCTCTCTGCGCGCCCTCTCCGTGTATACGCATATCCGCCCTCTTCGCGTATACGCATATCTGCGCGCCCTCCCTCTCTGCATATACACATTTCTGCATATTCGCGTATCAGTGCGTTTTTTTCTACCCGCCCTTTGTGCATATACACGTTTCTCAGTATACGCATTTCCTTGTTTAGCGTGCCCTCTCCACTCGCCCTCTCCATGTATACGCATCCTCCATGTATCCGCCCTCTCCGCGTGCCGTCTCCGCATCTCCATCTACCTCCTCCACCTCAATTCGTCTCCGCTCGCCTCCTTTACCACCCTCATCACGTCTTTGCACACCTCCGCCCGCAACGCGCTCACGCACGCCCCCTCAAGACCCTCAGGCCCCTTTCTGGACGGAGCCCACAGAGTTCGAGCATCGGAATAATGCCTTGTGTCTCCGTTGTCGGCTCTGAGGCCCATTCCGGTTCTTAGGCAGCACCCTCGAACCCCTGGGTGGGCCTTGGATAGCGCCCCCACCTGCGGACGAATTCTGCTCACTTTCGAAACGCCTCCCTCGGCTTTCGATACGCTGCATTCAGAGGCTAGTTACAGCAGTAACTTTTTTTTGATCTTTTTTGGTGCGTTTCTTTACTTTGATGTTCATGCTAACACTGACCATCTTTTTTATCTCGTTGTGTCTGTTCCGGTCTCCGCGCGTCATCACTAGGAGTGCAACGCGCTCATCGCGTACATGTAAGGAGCATACATACGGACATATTCTTTTTCCTTTTCTTTTCCTTTTCCTCCATAAATTCCACGAGCCTCCCCACTTCCATCCTCCTCGAGTACATCCCGCTTCACCCACTCCGAGTTTCCCCTACATCCCCTTGACTACCACTTCCGACTTCTCTCCGGCCTTACTTCTTTCCCACTCCCATATCACTTCCGATTGGCTCCCTCACGTTCAACACGTGTCACCCCGGATTAACCATTCCCTCTTTCCGATTGGCTACCCGGTTATACCCCAGAGTCCGGCTACCTCGCCAACCGACTTAGCCGGTCTTCCTTTACTTCTATCTCTCACGTCCTATCCGATTGGCTCAGAACCTCCCTCCCAGCTCTTCGCCTGATGTAGTATATATAGTGGCCTGCATGTATCTACGTACCCTAGCTTTGAGCTCGTCAACACCTGGACTAGTTCATTGACTCAATCTACCTTTCGCCCCTTCAACCTCGTCTCTTCAGACCGTCTCGCGAACATTATCTGCGACCTCAACCCGCCCCTTCACCTTTGGACAAGGATCAGCCGTGGAAGACACTCAAGATTGACGTCGAGTAAGCCCGGCCATGACAGTACAGCAACCTTACACCCTTGGCTTGTCTCGAATTTACTAGTCCGTATGTTCATATTTCGGGCTACATACACTCACTGATGTACACCGTCATTTGTTTATGACACGCTAGTCATCTGAAATCATGTCAAATATACCCTCAAGCCCGTTCCCTTCGCTCTATGACTGTAAGTTTTTTTTCTTCCTTTCTCTCATGGACTTGAGCCTAATTCGATCACTTAGCCAATAATTGGGCCGTATGGTCCCGTGCAATCACGAAAGTAGACCCCACTTCGTCCAGCGAGGTCAAGACTTTACATCGGCTCTCACAGAAGAAGCTCAAGCCCGAACTTCTCTTCCACTTCAAGCGTGCTTCGCCAACCAGTCCTCTCACTCCATGTCATCCCGGCGAGGAGGTGGAACTGAAGAAGCGCCACCACACCGCCGTCAATGAACCTCATGTTGGCTAGGCTACCATATGCTTGTGGTAATCACTTTCGAAGCGTGAAGCACAGGCAAAGAAGCAGAGGAAGGCGAAGAAGTTGAGGGCTGAGGGTGTCGCGGAGGAGGACTTTGAGCTTGCCATGGTTGAGAGTGACGACGAAATGGAATATTGGGAGTTCTATGGTGAGGAAGCACTGGAGGAGTCGATGTTCGTTGCATCGAAGGAACCAACTCCCCCCCAGCCTTTCATCATCCCTCCCGACACCACTCCCATCCACCTTCGCTATCCTGCTTCCCCTCCATCCAATATTACCGGCCGTATTCCACTCACAACGGAGGTTCGCTACTCCGGTTATGTCTACGCGGACCAGGAAACCAACATTCTCAGTGTCAATACGAGTTATGCAGCCTCCCTACCCTCTCGCGAGAATTCTACTTGGGGGGAGAGGCCATTGCTATACCTAGCATGGCAGGCACGATGCCTGGTTTTTATTATTATTTTAATCTTTAATTTTTTCATTTACTCAAGATTTTTGTATCGCTCTAAGGTCATACATGTCATCATCTGCTGACCCTTTCAAAACACTCTTCATGGTTGTGTAATGCTTAAACCCATGTTAGTACACACGGGCTCTATGATCCCTATGACACGACATACTCTATTTATTCATTTCAAGACCTTGTCTGGAAATGGTTTCAGATTTTAAGACCACTATACAAAATAAGTGTCTCATAACCATATTTCTAACTAAACTAGGAAGGAGCAATATAATCATTACCCTTTTCCCTGTTTCTTTTATACTATCCACATTTTGATTGTTCACATTTAGCCAGTGATCACTTTTCCCCTC